TCTCTGCTTCGGGCTCGCTCTCCATAGCATAGCCCAGCTGACGTAATGCCATGACTGAGTTATAGTTAATACAACCGGCCCTACTGATTAAAGGTACATTACTGAATTCTCCACAACTAAAGATGATTTCCACATCATAGTACTCATGAGAGTACCAAGCAATGTCACTAGCTTCCAGAGACATGATGCGCTGAGACCATTTCAATTCCTTCTTGTTTTCCACGAACGGTCCTTTCTTGGGCAAATGAGAAGCATACCATTTGTATAGTAGGTGAGAGCAGCATTGGATCGTTCCCGCCTTCTTTTCGCTCCTCCAATGAATAGAGTGATAGACATCGGCAAGGAGTGTAGGGATGGGATTCTTCTGCATGAAGAGAACGATGGCAGTGATGTCTATGAAATTGTCCACATTTGGAAAGAGGACAATCCCATAGATCATTAGAGCAACACTTATACTGAACTTTTCCCAATCTTCATCAACCTTGTATTGAGCGGCCTTTTCTAGCAAAAACTTCAATGGAAAACCCTGAACACCCCCTTTACTGGTTAGACCCTTCCTGACTTCTTCTTTGGTCATATGAAGAGCAAGAGCAATGACAGCAGGCTTTGGTTCTTCTTCCAAACCAGTATAGACAGGTTGATCCTTAATTTTAATGTTCAAAATGTGAGAATATTCTTCCAAGGTGGGAGCCAACTGGTAGTCTTGAAAAGTGAAGCACCGGAGAGGCGCATCATAAAATTGAGCCATAGCATACAGGGCCCAGGTATCAACTCTGGAGTGGAGAAGATCAAGCAATTTCCCATGTTTCCCTTGAAAGTTGATCTTGATAACTTTCGGCACGTCAATCAGAAGGTCTTGAATTGATTCCAACTTTGGTTCCCTAAACTTTATGGAATTTGTGCTTCTCTTTCTTATATCAGCCATTGAGTTCACCAATACCTGAGATAATCATAGCTTCTTAAGTCTCTTGATATGCAAAATGATATGTAATGCAATGTTTTATGAATGCATATGATAATATTCACACATCGAGATCAAGGTCACAAATCCTGCAGGACAACACCAAAGGGTATCTTTTCCAACGAGTGGGTAATTTACTGGTGCACAAAAAGGGTATTCCAAAGGCTTTTCAAACAGGGTCCCATGTACTAACCCTCAAAAGTTTCCCATCATAACGACTACTCGTAAGACGGTAATCCTTTCAAAAGGATGAACACAGAGTTATGTTTCAGCAACCTTCGGAATAAAGGTTCTACAAAAGGTCCTCAGAATCGCGGACTCTCAAGTTGAAGATAAGAACGCCCTTACGACTACACGTAAGACATTATTATTCCAACAGAGTCTCATCTGAGCGGTGAGATTCAATCCAACTCAACGAGTCCTAAGTCTCGCAAATCAGAAAGAATCCACCTCCTAACTTAGTGTGTATGCTCGAAAGCTTCATCCTCACAAACCAAGTCAAATAAACCCAACGGTTAGAAAATAAAGCATAAATAAATAAAACAAGTAAAGACACAAACATGACAAACAAAATAGGCTTGGCTTGCTAGATCATGTCCCCAGCAGAGTCGCCAGCTGTCGCTACTCGAAAAATGCATCGCGCAACGACGGGGAGGCGAAAAAGATAGACAGAAGAGTCGCCACCGAACTTTATTTATCCCATGAGGGGAAAGGAAAATATCGAGAAAACCTTAAGAAAGAAAAGGATAAGATGGTCTCGCGACCAAGAACGGGTTCGGAAGCCGGTTATGCAAGGGGAAGGTATTAGCACCCCTCGCATCCATCGTACTCGATGGGAACCTTTTGTTTGTCGAGGTGTGAATTTATTTGCTTAAATATTATGCTATAAAGAATGTTCTAAAAGATAGAGAGAAGGGTTTAGAAACGGGGGAAAGAGAGGTGACGAGGGAAAGAAAGGACTCGATAGGACTTCGCGGTCCTAGGCCTACGTATTCTCAACAAATATGAGAAAGTCAGAGTCGACGTAGTTCGGGAAACTACGGGTGATAGGGGGATTGTGCTCGCCAAGACATCGCCGTCTTGTGCCTACGTATTCTCATCTGGTATGAGAAAGTCAGAGCAGCCGTAGTTCGGCCTACGGTTTGTTGATGTTTTTTATGGATGATGCTATCGTGCGCATTCTAGCAGTTAGGTATTTTGCTGCTCGCTCGTTGGAGACTTAGGCGTTACCTGTTTGCGGTAGAACGGACGTAACATATCCTTTTGAAAGATTGATTAGTTTTCGCCACGCGGGGTAAGAAGTCACGTTTGATTGATTGGATTGTTTTTTAGGGGTGAGACAGGTCCTCGGATAGTAACCCCTACGGGTAGTACCCAATTCTTTGTCTCAAAGCTTTTGTCATAAAAGGTGTGGCGAACGAGGCGTCTTCGTATTGAAAGACGAGCGTCGAAACCACCCTCACTACAGTGGGCATCCTATCGCTCGGAGAAAAAGAGGTCTACACCCAATCTTCTCTCTTTAATTTAATACAAAGGGAACTTCGTTCTCTTATTAAAGATGTTTTTGGTTTTGAATGGTAAGTGCTTTGCGACAAAGAACCCTACGGTAAACGTCAGCACTCGGGATAGGAGAAGGCCTACGCCTAACCACTCCACGACCATTCAAGTTTTTGTATGAAAAGGAATTTGAAAATGCACTCGGTACGTGACCGAGGTTTTAGGTGTGAAAACTGTGGAAGGAAGTTGTGAAAGCGAGATGGTGGATAAAGTCGCGTCTTCGTATTGAAAGACGAATATCGAGACCACCCTCACTACAGTGGGCATCCCAACATTCGGAGAGGAAGAGGTCTACACCTAATCCTCTCTTTTTAATTCAATACAAAGAGAATTTGATTTATTATGGAAAGTATACTCAGTACGAGACCGAGGTTTTATGAGGAAACGTTGGAAGCGTCTTTGTATTGACAGATGAGCATCGAGACCACCCTCACTACAGTGGGCATCCCTATGCTCGAAGAAGAAGAGGTCTACACCCAATCCTCTCTTTAGCTCAACACAAAGAAATGATTTTAAGGAGATGAGATTTGAAAATGGACGGGAAGCGTCTTTGTATTGAAAGACGAGTGTCGGAACCACCCTCACTACAGTGGGTATCCCAACACTCGGAGAGGAAGAAAGTCTACACTTAGTCCCCTCTTTTTAATTCAATACAAAGATAATTTGATTTTGAAAATTGTTTGGCAAAGTTTTGAAATCGAGTCGGGACAAGTAATGAAGAGAGAAAAGAGGTGGTCTCAAATCCAACATTACCTATCAATAATTTGACTGGTAATGAATTACGGAGGTCTCGTCATCGACCCAAACAAATGAAAATGGGACAAAATGCCCAACAACAAATGAAGAATAAAATTACCTCTAAAATAAAAATAATATTAAAAAATTTAAATAGAAAATGATAAGCAACTTAAAAAGAAAATTCTAAATATTTAGAGCTATAATAATATAATAATATACATAATTTATTAAACTAAAAAATAATGTATTTAGATAATAACAAAGAGTTTATACGAACATATTAAATGAAAAAAAAACAAATAAAAACAGAAAGGGGGTTAGAGATAAACATGGGGTACAAATAGTGATCAGGTGGGCTGAAAACCCAAACCAAACAAGTAATAAAATAAAATAAAGAAATATAAAATAAAAAGTAAAAAAAAACAAGTTCCTCTTCTTCGTATCACTTTCACCGTATCTCACTCTCACTGCCTCTTTCTGCTTCGATCTTCACTCTTTCTTTCTGTTTCAAAATCAACTCTATTTTGTTTTCTGCTTTCACTCAATCTCAGGTTTGTGTTCGATTTTGATGTTTGGGTTGGTGTTATTCGCATCCGATCAAAGGTGGATTGGGGATTTGAGGAAAGTTGAGGTTGATTTGGGTTAACAGTTGGAGAAGACGAAGGTTGAGAAGTGGTTTGCGGTTGCGGGTTCGCGAGTTGTCGGAGAAGTGAAGTTTCAGATGGTTGTGATTAAATGAAGTTTGTTGAAACTGGGTTGATGCGTTGTTTTCGGTTGATTCGAGCTGGTGTCTTAACGATTGAAGTTTTAAAGTATGAAGGAGGGTTTTGAAGTTCCTCAATGGACTCGCGGATGGGTTCTGTTTTTTTTTTATGCAGATTCGAAAGAGGGTTTTAGTGTTGATTGAAGAAAGAAAAGGGAGGCCGGAAGTTTGTTCAATTGGGTTTTTATGGTTGTAGTGAAGAAAGTTAATCGGAAGAAAAATGATAATGGATTCTTAGGGGTTATTTTGCGGTGACTCGAAGAAGTTTCGAAAATGGTGGTTTGATTATTGTTGTGATGATATTGCAGATGAATGATTGTGGGTTTTCTAGCAAGATTGTGAAGACTATGAAGACAGGAAACAGGACAGTCCAAACAATGCAGACCAAAACTATGAAGACAGGAAGAGTAACAGAATACTTACAGTGTAGGAGCAATACCACCAGATTGTTGATACAGAGCACAGGTGAGCTCCTTCTTCAATCTCCCTCTTTTTTAGTTCTTTGTGATGGAGGTGAGTTGTGAAAAAAAAGCAGCTGTTTTTCTGTTAGGGTTCTCTGAATGAGCAGCAACCAGTATATATATGATGTGAGATTAGGGTTTAAATTAGAGAAGTTGTGGGAACTTTGGGTCTCTTCCTCTTTGGGAAAGAAAATGAGATACTTTTTGCAGTGGGAGCAAGGGCTGAAGTTGTGGGATTGAAAACAACATGTTCTTTGTCTGTTTGTAGCTTTTGAATTTGCCTGTTTTTACTCATGCTTTTCACTGTGGTAACACAACAATTTTTACTGATACATTCAATTTCTTTGCAGGTTCATCAGCATCTTTTCTTCTCTTTTTGATCTTGAGAGAGAATGCGCGCCCTTGCATGCCAGAACATTGCAATCTTAACGAAGCCTCCTTGCAAAGGTTTGTGAGGAAGTTTTCACAATCATTCATATCTTGGAACCTCACACCCCAATTTACATCAGTCCCAATAGACTTACATCAATTCCTCTGCTATAACTTCCTTCTGGAGGAGAACAAGAAGAGTTTCTATCCCACCACCTGCTAGAAATTCTTCTGCAAATGTGTTAGCCCTAGATGCATTAGGCTGGACAACCAACCTGTAAAAGAGATGCAACACCCTAGCAACCTGATTGGGTTGTGGGCAATCAACCATGAATCCAAGTAAGCATCGGACATCGGCTGAGACCAAAGAAGGAGGAGCTGCCACTATTAAAAGTTCAACTACCACTAAGAGCTCGTCAACCAATGCATTAATTTCACCCACGGGACGTGTTGCCCCAGCTAGAGAAAAAGAATTCACTGAATCAATTTCATGAATAATCCAATAACATCTTCTGCAGCCATCAAGAAGCATTTGAATGGCATTGGCATCACGTATTACGGTTGACTCTGTGAAAACCATGTCTGCAAGTGATGACAGAAGCTTCTTTTGTATGCCATAACTACACAAACTCCAAATTTTTAAATCTAATACCAGTGTGGCGAAGAGCTGCACTTTAAGTGTATGGTTAATCTTCTGAGATTGACAAACAGAAACAACAGCAGCAACAAGTTCCTCGTCTCTTACACCATCATGCCTTCCAACATGAAGTGAAGATAGAGTTTGAAGAAGATAATTCAAAATTTTTGACAGAACCTCAGGCCCTCTACCACGAGACAACTCTTCATTGTTCCTTGGGTGTTGAATAGCCATGGATATAATTCTAAATATTGGGGCAGCAAGAGATGTGGTGGCTGAAGAAAGAGGAAAAGTCCCTTGCAGTGGTTCCAGAGTATCCTCGTCTATATTGCTTATAGTCACGGGAAGCAAAGACAAGGGACCTCCATAAGCCAATGCCCATAAAGCATCCCCAGGTCGCATTCGTGTAGCAACATGGACTAGCCCAAGAACCTCAGCTGGCCGTCGAAGCATTCCTGAAGCACCAGAAGGTGAAGCATCTGGACAGAAACGACCATTCAGCAAACTAGGATGATAGAGCAGATGGATGCAACCTCCAATTTCTGCATCTAGAAGCACACTCTCCTCTGCCTTGATTTGTACATAGGCATTTGTTGCTAGCCATGGTAGCCCAGCTGCATTACCAAAAGAAGGCAATATATCCCCCCCTCTAGAAGCCAGCCCTGCCATTTTATCCGAGCCAATCGGTTCCTTGAAGATGTAAACAGGGCCCATCTCAGCAAACAAAGGACATTGACGACGACGGCGTTGCAAACCAGCCATAGTAGGAGGAGGGTTAGTTCCTATGCAGCAAAAAGCCAGGGGTTTGGATATTCGAGGGAACTCAAAAGGAAGACTTTCATATAAAGACCCGTCTACATATAACCTGACTTCACTTTCTGCATTTCCGAGAATTCCATGCTTGCCTATATGCTCAAGACCAATGAAGTACCAGCATTGGGGTTTGAAGGGATAGGTAAAATGCAAGGATGACTTTTTTCCCTTTCCACTAGCAGTTTCAACAACCAAAAATTGAGCATGAAAATAAGCCTCTAAACCCTGATTATCATTGGATAAAAAACTGAATAGCCGGGGCATGTACACTGTACCTTCGCCAGCAAGCGCACTAGCGGCAGCAGCAGCTGACATGGCTGATGATTTACCTGAGTTAGCCGATGCAGCTGCAGCAATCGCAGCAGCAACTGTGGCTGTATTCAATGTGTCCGCAAATGATTCAATGTAGATCCATGTAGCAAAAGCATATCCATTGACAAACGGCCAACGGCTCTCACCTGGACCAAGCAAACCAGAACTTTCACCATCAAACTCAAAGGTGCAAGCCGGTCCTTTTGACTCCTTTCCACTTATTGCTTTCTCCAACGCTAGTGTCAATCGTGGAGCCCAAATTGTAGTGAGTGTTTTAGTAATGACTTGAAACCATCTGTAGAGATCACTAACACTAAGAGTATGGCCCGCTAAGTACTGTATACATTGGCACAGAGGAGTTCCATCCCACCTCATTTGTCCATTTAAGCCAACATCCACTGTAAAAATCTTTTCAGCTGTCCTCAACAATACTCCCAAGAGACCAGCCGATGAGCACATTGCTCTATTTCTAGTGCAAGCTCTTATTATGGCAAGTAGTCCCCTAACCATCCTTGTTCTTGGTGACATGACATCCTCAGTATCACCTATGTAAGGAAGCCAAGGAATAAGCTCGCCTGACACAATGGCAGCCCGGGAGTTCAGCATTACACTAGGTGGATTATTATCCTCATCCTCCTTAAAGCTTTCAACACCGCCCATTGTTGCAAGAAGTGAATCTACAATTAAGAAAGGTACGCTGTCCATTTCTTCACCATTCTCAAAAAATTCTACGCTGCTAGCAATATTCTTTAGCTTGTCCATACCTTCAGGTTTCCCCATAATAGCAGAATCAACTAGATGCAGTAATTCTGGAGACACATTCGGTTTTGCATGTTTTTGCCTGGGATTTGGTGGAGATGTAACAGTAGAAGAATATCCAGTGGAATCAAAACTAATTGATGGAGCAAGCTGCTTGTTTGTATGACCGAAATTCCCCTCTGAGGCAGGGCTATGAGAAAGATTATCAAGATGCAGGTCAGTAACTATGGAAGAATCATATTCTAAAGAACACGAACCAGATGAGTATCGAGAATCCTCTGCATTTCCATCATATGGGTGATGTATTTTATCAGAACCTGGTGATTGGTTTGAATCCTCAGACTCATTATTCTTGTCTTGATCGTTTAAAGATACTTGTTCAAACTGGTCCTCGCCCATAACTGTAGTTGCACAATCAACATCTTGATCTTGCAAGTGTACCCTCTCATCTACATGTTCAACCTCAAAACTACTGCTACCATTTACATTTTCCTGAAGAGGACTCTCGACAAGTTGTTTTATATCACTATCTACTACTTCATGAGAATATAATACATTACCAGTTATTTTCATCTCTTTTGGCTCTTCCTCCTCTTCCATTATGCTATTTATGAAGAAACTAACAAATATCCGTTTGAATTATGAACGCCCAATCCACCTTCGACAAGTTTCCGGCACGGCGGTTCAGTCGTGAGGCTCAGATCGAGGATTTGATGGAAATGAGAGAGAAAGTGCAGAGAGAGAATCGGAGATAGAGAAGGTGAAGGAGAATTAGGAAGGAGGTGCCGTTTTGGATAGTTGGTGGAAGCTATGAATACTGATATCTGCAATTTGGCCCCATTTCTTAATTCTTTCTTACCGATATACTCAGTTGTCAACTCCGGCTTGGTCTTCAAACCAAGTTCATTTCTTATTCTTAATTTTTATTTTCATGATTCTGTTGCTGTGTTTGTTTGTGATTTGTGTATCTCCAGGTTGTTGATGCAGCGCTGGTGCTAGTGGAAGCTTTGTTGCATTTGACGCGTATGTCTGCCAAAAAACGGTGATATCAATATCATGTGCAGTTGTTCTTGATAAAATGGTTTGTGATTATCTTTGGTTCATGAAAATTTTGCAGGTGTGTCGTCTATTCTTTTGCTGCGTGTCCACCTGCTTGTTGGAAGGTGTAGAAGATTTTTCTGTCGGAAACTGAACGAAAGTGGTACGTGATTTATGGAGTTGAAGCAGATGCTTAAAGAATGTCTCCGAAGCAAAACAGAGGGTTTTTTTTGTGTCTGTTTCATGGCAGCAGAATATCTCAAAGTGGGGAGGGAGATTTTTGAAGAAGGATTGTTGAACGTATGGAGGTGAATGGTGAAGGAGGCTAAGAAGGATGATGATGAAGCAGAAAGTGTTGATGGAAAGGGATTCGAAAGTTTCGCGAGGTAACGCATTTAGTTATTCGTTTTGGAGGTTGGTTGTGCAGGAGAAGTTCAAAATGAAGTTGAGCAAAGGATTTCCTTTAAGCAGAAGTTGTTTCTTTGATTGCTTCTGGTGAGGGAGAGATTCGAAGTTATGGTGAGTGAGGGTTGATGAGTTTGTTCTGAGCCTTAAGCTTTGCTCGTGACTGTCGTCTTCTCAGGATACCGTGGTATTGTTTTGCATTGACATAGATGGGTCCATCTTGTGCAAGATCAGGTGGTAATGTAATCTTCAACAACACCGTAAAATTTAGAACTTGGCCTTTGGGATCTAACAAAGATATGTATGAAGAAGAAAGAGAAGTAACGTTTGAAGTGTTGCTGTTGGGTTGAAATTGGGCATGTCCCCCCTTTTTTTTTAATTTTCTGTTTGTTGTAAATTGTAAACAAATTATACTCTGCTATTAACAGTGAGTTTTTTTTTGGAAATTCTGGATGGACTTGATAATGAATGTGGATGATACTTGTAGTATATCAATTTATTTTGGGGTGAATGAACCTCGTTGGGCCTTTTGCACCATAACTTGCTGTTTGCACCATAAAACAAATTGAGACACTTGAAATAGATCTTTGTTTCTCTGTTATCTATATTCAATCCAAACTGAATCAGACATAAGCATTGCGGATAAAAACCAGAAAAATGAATCCATCCTCCGCTTGTACTTTTGAGCTATATTCAAACATGATCATAGATAACCTTAATTCATGATTAGAACTCCAAAACATAATCTATGATTCTCACAAACATCATTCTTGGATTTTCACTTAAATAGAGCACTGAATTGATTCATATTTTCATCTTGACCTGATCACTTTGCTTGACGACTTGAACATAACCACCTTGATCAGGTTAAAAAAAAAACCTTGATAATTCTTCTTGTCAGACACAAATACCTCGATCCCCTCTGGAATGCAAAATGTTATGCAATGCTAATGCTAATGATGCAATAAAACATAAGCCAAAGAGGTTGGTCAAATTTTGGGGTACAACAGTTGCCCCTATTCAAACGGCTTGGACCTGAAGGGATGAAAGGTGAACAAGTTTCATACAATCAAGGTAAAAGACGGTTGAATACCCAAGAACCCGGAAATTTGACAACCGTGAAACGAACCTCTGACATCGCCGCCAGGAACCCATATTAAGTAGAACGTCTGACCTCGCCGTCAGCTCTTTTAATAGCATCTAACCTCGCCGTCAGATCTCAACGTCAAAATTATAAATCAACTGACTTTATCGTCGGTCTTCAATATTTTCTGACTTCGCCGTCAATTCTCAAAACAATCTTCTGACTTCGCCGTCATTTCCAACAGTTTTGACTTCGCCGTCAACTCTTAAAATAATCGGTAAAAGCATCTGACCTCACGGTCAGGCCTCGACATTAAGTTGGTAAAAAGATCTAACCTCGCCGTCAGTCCTCTGTTAAATACACACAGATATTGAATCCAAAGATACGATCCTCCGACATTGCTGTCAAGACAAAATCCAACATCGCCGTTGGAAGAACCAAGTTACCTGACATCGCCGCCAAGAACAAACATCTAGCATCGCTGCTAAAGAATCAAACCGCTCGACTTCGCCGCCGAAAATAAACACCCAACCTCGCCGCTGAATAAACAAATTACTCCGACATCGCCATTGAAGAATTAAATCATCTGACATCGCCGTCAAAACAAATTTCTCAACATCGCCGTTGAAGAATTAAAATCATCTGACATCACCGTCAAAACAAATTTCTCAACATCGCCGTTGAAGAATTAAATCATCTGACATCGCCGTCAAAACAAATTTCTCAACATCGCCGTTGAAGAATTAAAATCATCTGACATCGCCGTCAAAACAAATTTCTCAACATCGCCGTTGAAGAATTAAATCATCTGACATCGCCGTCAAAACAAATTTCTCAACATCGCCGTTGAAGAATTAAAATCATCTGACATCGCCGTCAAAACAAATTTCTCAACATCGCCGTTGAAGAATTAAAATCATCTGACATCGCCGTCAAAACAAATTTCTCAACATCGCCGTTGAAGAATTAAATCATCTGACATCGTCGTCAAAACAAATTTCTCAACATCGCCGTTGAAGAATTAAAATCATCTGACATCGCCGTCAAAACAAATTTCTCAACATCGCCGTTGAAGAATTAAAATGATCTGACATCACCGTCAAAACAAATTTCTCAACATCGCCGTTGAAGAATTAAAATCATCTGACATCGCCGTCAAAACAAATTTCTCAACATCGCCGTTGAAGAATTAAAATCATCTGACATCGCCGTCAAAACAAACTTCTCAACATTGCCGTTGAAGAAACAACTCACTTGACATTGCCGCCAAGGCTTCGCTGAATATATGAGTAACAAGCTTCAAACGAATTTAAGACCATCCATTGGTGACGACCACACAAGAATTCTGTTGGGGAAAGGCCATGAGCTGGGGTCTAGCCAACACACGGGCAAAGATACTAATCATCTGCGAGATTTATTTGAAACAAAAGGGTAACGACCTGGCTTATGTTTCGCATGCATATGTTTGGATATGACGATATGCTCCATACGAAATGGGAATGCTTCGCGTTCGGGTAGATGCTATGCATGTATGTAGATGCAAATGAACCCCTTTAGCAAAATAAATGCTAAAGAGAAAGAGCCAACTCCGTTGGGGAAAGGCTGGATACGCCTAGCGCAAACAAACTCATGCTGAGGGGTACAAGCCCTGGATGGCCTCCGAAAAAAACTTCTGGGTAAAAACTGCTTCGTTAAGAACAAAAACCACTCTGTCGGGGATCCAAATCAAACTTTGCTGCGGTAGACATCCCGGATGGCCTACCAGCCTACAACTCCTCCGGGAAGCACACAATCTTGGCTGGGGGCAACAACTCCACTCTGCCGGGGAAATCAACCGTGAATGATCGGCCAGAATAACTCCACTGGGGAAACACAGCAGATTGCTGAGGAATAGCTCCATTCTGTCGGAGATTGAATCCACTATCTGCTAGGGATGTTGAATAAGATTTACCGGGAGGATTATCCCACACTCTCTCTGCTGGGAATGGGGATGAACGGCCTCTGAGTTAGTTCCATTCTGTGGGGAAGAAAATTAACTCTGCTAACTTGGCTGTGGATTATATAAGGAGGGAATCATCATCAACCTCTGCTTGGGGAAAGTAACAACAACTAGACAAGTGCGTTGTACAACTGGCACCGAGTTATCAATTATGACTTTATTTGAAACAAATGTCCTGATTAACAGTTAGCAAAGCCCACAAGTTTATGTATGCAAGGTTTTTCATCAAAAAAAAAATATCAAGCGTCTTTTGCAAACAAAATGGTAAAAAGTTAAAACCAGAACAAAAGCTTTTTCTGAATAGTGTATTTTATTGATAAAAGGCCTGAAAATAGGCAACTTTACATCGGATGCAACTCCTGAAAAGAGAAAGTTGTGCAAAAGGACAATTGCAAGGAAAATATACAAAAATGTCGGCAATGTGGTACAGACAAACACCATGTGACGACTCATCCATGACTCGCGTGGCTTTGACGCTTTCCGACACTTTAACTTCCGAAGAGATTGATTTGAATGGTCGATCTTCGAGTTCTCCCTTGAATCCATTAGGCTTGTGATAACCAATGCGCAGGCCGCAGTCATTTGCTTTAAAATCCCTAATTTTTGCCTGAATCGCCCTTGCGGGTTTTCGATTCACCAAGATACCCATTTTTGCCAAAGTTGCCCTTTCAGGTTTTCAACTTTGCGGGTTCACATTTTTCTTATATCCCTAATTTTTGCCCGAACCCATCCTTTTATGGTTCGCCGGGATGCCCCATTCTTGCCTGGATGCTCTTTTTCTTTCCAGCGAGCTTTCTTAAGCAAAATATTTTTTGACCGCGTCTGCATTCACCGAGGATGTAAAATCTTCACCATCCATAGTTGAAAGTAGCAAGGCTCCTCCTGAGAAAACCTTTCGTACCACATAAGGACCCTCATAGTTAGGAGTCCATTTGCCTCTGTGATCATTCTGCGGTGGGAGAATTCGCTTTAACACCAAGTCGCCTGCCTGAAAGCTCCGAGGACGTATCTTTTTATCATAGGCGCTCTTCATCCTCTTTTGATACAAACGACCGTACGCGAGAGACGCCAATC